TGTTAGTCTCTAAGGTGCCACAAGTACTCCTGTTCTTTTTGCGGATACAGACTAACACCGCTGCTACTCTGAAACCCCTCTACAAATGGAGCTGAGCAGTGCATTGTGGGAGATGTAGTGTAGTGTCCCCGGCCTCCATCTCCCACCAGCCGCTGTGTGTGTGGTGTCCCTGCTCAATCTGCCCAGTGCACCACAGCAGTTGTGGCTTCAGCTTGCTGCGCCGCCGCAGGAAACTCCAGGCCCCCAACTCTCCCGGACCCCCCCACCCCAATCCACTGTCAGTCCTCGCCACGTGCCCCCATTCTTAATCCCATCCATCTCCGCCCGCTTCTACCCCCGAGCCTCCCACAGCTCCCCCAATCGCAGAACCAGGGCAAGTTGAGCACTTACTGAGGCAAATAAACTTCCAGTCGGTGTTCCCAATGGGACGCAATTAGAGCGCTTACCTGGGAAACTTCCGGTCACTGTTCCCAGTGGGAGCCTATTAGAGCACGTACTAAGTCAATTTCACTTCCGGTCAGTAGACTGGGAGGTGAAGGTCGCCGTGAGACGCTGTAGCCTGGGCAGGTGGTGCCGCCATCAAACAAGGTCGGAGGAGCAGGCGGCACCCGCCCTGACGCTGTTTGTTGTACCGTAAGTTATACATGAGAAGAACAGATTAAGGTGCGGCGCCCGGTGGGCCCGCTATCTCCTGGCAGTTAGAGCATCGTGCTGAAATGCATCACGGGAGTTGCAGTCCCCCCCTCCCATCCCCCGGTGCATCACGGGAGTTGTGTAGTCCGCACCCTATGCCCGCGTTGTTGTTTCCGGCGGTGGTTTCAGGTTATTTGGGGTTTTGCAGGCCCCAGCCAGGGGGACAGAGTCACTCCCCAGAGTGTCGCCCCAGCAGTCCCCTGGTAACGATACCGTGTGAACAGCTGGCTTTAAGGCTGTTCTCTCCATGTTTCCCAGGTTCTGGCGACAGACCTGGGTCCAGAATCGCCCAGCAATTGCATGTGTGGGTGTGGCACTGCTCACGTGTACCAGTGTGTGCATGAGCAGGGCCAAACCCTTTACTGGTCCAGTAGAATAAAGGACAGATTTCTGACTTTATAGATCAGAGCTTTTTGGAATCACTGAACTGAAAGTCTGCAATGCAAACACGTTTTCCAGTAAATGTTAATTAGTATTTGATGCTTCTAACTGCACCATGACAAGTAGCCTTCAAAAGCATGTGTGTGAAAACTGGGGTGGTGTGTTAACATCATCAGAATATCTTGATTAGCTCCTAGGCATGGCTTTTCATTCACTAATTAAAAGGAAGGAATATGTCATCATCCCCATATTACAGATGGGGAAACAAGCACAGGATTTTTCCCCCATAGCCATTTCCTAGTACGTGGTGTGTGCGATGGGGGCTTTATGGAGTAGACAGCTACTTCACTGCCTCACCTTGTGTGATGTTCCCTGCTGGTGTTATCTGGACAAGTGATCTGCTAGGCCTTTCCAATCCTTGACTCTGGGAGCAAGCCTTACGTGAGAACCCCCACTCCTGGGCTGTTCATGCACAGCCTCTGGCATGTAAGCTGCTCCCAGCTACTTGCAAGCGAATGACACTAGCCAATATCTCCGGTCCCAGAAACAACCCTAGGAACCTCCGCCTTGTAGTGTCCAATTATGCCT